CGTCAGAGCCAAGGACAGCAAAAGGATTAGATGCCCGGGGTGGCTATGGGAGGGGTAACAACAGAGGAGGCTGCAGAAGATGGGACCCAGAAGTGGGGGGATGTTTGGAAACACGAGAATAAGAAACACGGGGGAAATCTCTTGGAGGCGGAGATGAGTAACTGCCATAGCATAAGGGAGACCTTCTGCCTCTTTGAGGCAAAGGATTTCACGTTCATTTAAGTAGACCTGGCAACGGCGGGAGTACAAAGGGTGAGCTTCATTACAATTAAGGCAAGATGGAGGTTGACTGCAAGATGTATTAGAATGGTCGTTGGCACCACAGACTGGGCATTCGGCCATAGATCTGCAATATTTCGCTGGGTGACCAAAACGCCAGCAATTTCTACATTGTTGCGGTGTAGGTATCACCTTTCGAACTTGTAACCGATGTCCCACGACATAGCCGAGAACTCCCGTCATCTGTATGTCAAAAGTTAAACGAGCCACATTGCAAGGGTAACGTCTCCGCCCCCGGGCAGGAAGGACATAAGTGTCTACTTTGAGGATTGGGAGATCCTGGAGTTCCAGCTTTCAAAAATGTCATTGCCACATGACTGGAAATTCTGTTGGACTATGGTATGGGGCAGAATGACAGTACCACTACAAGAATTGAGAGAAAGATGTTTTTCAATAGTGATAGGAGTAGTATCGATATTCGAAAGGAGAGAAAGATCATGAGCTTGGGTAGCATTCTGGGGCAGTGACGATGCGCGTACCGCTCTTGAGAGCATGAAATGAAATATCTCTACCAACATGACGCAGGAGCGCTTTGCCAATACTATGGTCAGAAAGGTAGGCAGAAGAAGAAGAAGTCGGTCTTAAAGTAAAGAATTTAGTCCATTGTGTGGTCCGAACTGAGCGTGGAGAGAGAGTGCTTGGACTTTTCGGTCTTTTCCAAGTAGAATGGGAAGTAACGAAGGAGCATCATCAGGAGATTGACGTTGGCGTTTAGGAGTAGGACCGGAGTTGGTCCGGCGTGAAATGGGCGGGCGATTCGAAAATTGCCGTACCGTAGAGGGAGAAGCCGGAAGCATAGTCAAAGGAGAGCGGAGTTCAGACAAATTGAAGGAGTCAGTCGAAGCCCCGGTAAACCCGAAGCGGGTGAGGAAACAGCACCAGCAAGAGGTACAGGGGCTCAGGAGTGTCCGAAGAGTGGTCTAAACACAAGGCAGGGTCAGAATGGGGGTGCGGTATCAAGAAGGGGCCCAGGGGTAGTGGGGTTTATGGATTTTGGGGTTTTCCATGGTTAGGTTACTCCTTTGCTTTTTGTTTTTAAGAAAAAAAAAGAAAAGAAAAAAAAATAAAAAAAAAAATAAAAAAAAGGGGGGGGGCGGGGAGGAATATTCCCAGGAGGAATGAAAGGGCCGGAAATCTCCCTCCGCACCCAAGAGGACCTCAGCACCGCTAGTAGCGCAGATGCAGCATGGAACCCGTGCCATACCCTACCCTTATGCCAGTAAACCAGCAATCCGGGATAGCAACCTCACATCTGCCAAGCTACCTCGGTGGACAAAAAGAGAGGGCGGCCAGAAACCACCACAAAGCAACCCTCTTCGGCCACCACACCCGGAATCCGAAAGGTGGCTTCCCGAGATACACCCTCGCCTGAAAGACACCCAAAGTACTCCGGGATACCGGAGAGGGATCGGGACATCCCCAGGCAATCCAGATTCCACGGCAAACTACGCCACCGCCAAGAACCTCAACGGAATGGGATGGACCCCGGTGTCCTTTCCCCTACCTAGGAACTAGCGCGCCTGTGGGAGAAATCCCAAAGGCCAAAAAGAGGAAAGGCAAAAGGGAGGGGTGGGGAGGAGGAGGAGGAATGGAAAAAGGGGAGGATGGGATAGGGGAGGGGAGAATGGGGGGTAATTAGGTTCGGTCTGAGGAAGAAGACCGACAGGGCTAATTCCTCAGACCAAGAGCCTCTTCACCACGCCAAGGAGCCCCCCTTGAAGAGGAGATACTTGTCCAGTTTCCTCTTGAAAGCTTATACATGGACACATATGTGCATGTATACATATGTACATGTACTTACAGTATGTATACAAGTGAATGTATAAACTAATGAGATCACTAGACAACACTTGGTGGGTGATTCCCGTAGACTTAATTAATTTTAAACACTGCCTAATTTTAAAACAGTATTTGCTATAAGATTTAGATAAATAAAATAATAACTTCCAACTGGTTAGACAGAATTGCATAACAAATTACATGGTGTAGTTTTGACAAGTTTTAAAGGTTTGTTTAATTTTCCAGCTTGAAAGCCAGTTTCTTAGCGAGCCAAAGAGTATATGATACTCCAAAATTTTTGTCAAAAAAATTAGCACATAGAGGCGATAAATTTGGGGTAGCTTTTTGGTCAACTTTAAAATTCAACATTAAAGTACCCAACTTGGGGGGCTTTGTAGCCTTTACCCTTTTATGAGTTTTGGAAATCTCTATTCCAGAGCCCCGGGCCCTGGCCAGGCCGTTTTGGGGCTAGCCCCTCAATCAGACTGTTGCTACTGAAGGCCGCTGCCCCAAATATCCCTCAGCGCAACGCTGGTTAACCGGATAGCACTAAAAGGCCCGGCCTGGTTGGGCTCCAGGAGTAGAAAGACTCGATGTTTCTTCCCAGTCGGGCACATCAATGAGACCGACTGGATTCAAGCTATTTCAATCTCCTCCTTTATGTTCTGACCTCTGAAGCGATTTTTATATCAATGCACCATGCAGAAACAAGCAGGTATATGCAGAGAAAGATTGCAGTCAGCAGGACTCAATCCCACTTACGTGGAGATGGATTGGTGTGCTCAGGCTGGGAAGAAACGGCTTGTAAACCAGGCTGCCCAGCTTTTGAGGCATTTGTGGCTGAGTGGATGAGAATGTCACTCAGGAACCTCACCTGTCCATATGTTAGTGGGATTGAGTCCTGCTAACTGCAATCTTTCTCTATATATGCCTGCTTGTTTCTGCATGTTGCAATGATATATATATATATATATATATATATATATATATATATATATATATATATATATATATATATATATATATATATATATATATATATACACATTATGTCATGCCAGATAAGTAAAACTTGCAATTAGTAGCAATAGTAGTGTATAGTAGCACCGCTGTATCCTCAAGTCCAGTTTTCGCTGTTTCAGTTATCTGCAGTTTACCGTGGCCCAAAAATAACCCTTAATTTTGCTTAATAATGGACCCAAAGCACAAAAGTAGTGATGGTGACAGTTCTTCAAAGCCTAAGAGAAGCTGTGAAGTGTTTCCCATTAGTGAAAAAGTGCTACTTCTCCACTTATTGTGCATAATTTATGTTAAACTTTATTGTAGGTATGTAAACGAAAAACAACTTATACAGTGGACCCCCGCATAACGATGGCATCGCATAGCGATTTTTCCGCATAACGATTACTTTTATCGCAAAATTTTTGCCCCGCATACCGATTAAAAACCCGCATACCGATTTTCGTCCGAGACGCGTCCAATGTGCCCTCACATGTGCCGGCCGTCCCATTGTTTACCAGCCAGCCTCCGCGGTAACATCCAAGCATACACTCGGAATATTTCGTATTATTACAGTGTTTTCGGTGCTGTTTGTGGAAAATAAGTGACCATGGGCCCCAAGAAAGCTTCTAGTGCCAACCCTGTGGTAAAAAGGGTGGGAATTAGTATGGAAATTAAGAAAGATTTTGAAGGGTTTGGGGCTAACCCTGAGAAGCCTATGCCAGTTGTGGAATCCATTGTGCCTACTTCAAAGATTAAGGAAATGTGTGCAGAGTGGGTTGAACTGCAAACCTTTATAGATGAAAATCACCCTGACACAGCTGTTGCAAGCCGTGCTTGTGACTATTTCAATGACAATGTTATGGCCCATTTTAGGAAAGTCTTGAAGGAACGGGAGGTACAGAGCTCTATGGACAGATTTGTTGTGCGACAGAGGTCCAGTGACTCTCAAGCTGGTCCTAGTGGCATTAAAAGAAGAAGGGAAGTAACCCCAGAAAAGGACTTGCTACCTCAAGTCCTAATGGAAGGGGATTCCCCTTCTAAACAGTAAGAAGATAATGCTCTCCCCTCCTCCCATCCCATCAATCATCACCAGATCTTCAATAAAAGTAAGTGTCATGTAATTGTGCATGCCTTTTTCAGTTTGTGTGTATTAAAATTAACATTTCATGTGGTAAAAAAAAATTTTTTTCATACTTTTGGGCGTCTTGCACGGATTAATTTTATTTCCATTATTTCTTATGGGGAAAATTGATTCGCATAACGATTATTTCGCATAACGATGAGCCCTCTTGCACGGATTAAAATCGTTAACCGGGGGTCCACTGTATATAGGGTTTGCTACTATCCACAGTTTCAGGTATGTGCAGTAGACATTGAAACATATCCCCACGGATATGGGAGTCACATCTGTATATAATTGTATGATAATTCTGTATATACACAGAAGATACTGGGGTACCTGATTCCAAACCTACACTCCTATAACAAAGTACTGATGTGAGATATAGGAGAGAAAATATAAAATAAACCCAGTGAAAAGCAGCAAACACTAGTTCAGAAATATGACTTCACACATGTATACCAGTCTTCATTTATAATGGAAGTTTCAAGGACAAATATTTATAATGGAAGTTTCAAGGACAAATATTTATAATGGAAGTTTCAAAGACAAATATTACAAATGTACAAGTGAAAATGGTTGAACATACATCAGAACTGCCTTGTGTAAGTCAATTGGCCTTCTGGAGTTACCTTTATATTCTTTATTTTTTTACCTGGGAAGAATTTTTTCCCTTGGGTGACATGTAGGGAATACCGTACTTTGAAATTGAAATTTAACATGTACATGTATTGTAAGGAATAGGGTACTCTGTTTTTATTGTTTTATTAGATCATGGCTACTTAAGTGTTGTTTGTGGAGTTACCTAACTATTGGTGTGGTGGTTTCAGATGTGAGGAGCACGGGCAGTGTAAGAATGGCACTTGCATCTGCATGACGGGTTGGAACGGCCGCCACTGTACTCTGGCTGGCTGCCCCAGTGACTGCTCCGGCAATGGAGCCTGTGTTATGGAGAAGGAGGAGTGGATGTGTCGTTGTCAGAATGACTGGGAAGGTTATGACTGCTCTGTGAAGCTAGAAACAGACTGTGATGATAACAAGGATAATGATGGAGGTAAGTGGCCCATGTCAGAGAAGTTTGTATACACCTTGCTGAAAGATAACATTTTAATTAACGAAGACTTTACTTCAGTATCACATTGCCTATTCAGTTATCATAGTGAAACAAAGCCTTTATTAATAATGTATTTACTGTCATACTCTACTTTCACACTGTGAAATTATCAAGAATATTGAATACAGCCTATTGAAAGTAGACCAAAAGTACTGTTGTATAAAGTAAATAACATTGCAGTACTACATTCCGATGCCCAGATTACTTCAGGAAAGGATGCACAGTTATTTTTTCTGTAATACTGTATATCTTCTCTCCCTCATTTAAAACTGATTTCTTGCCATAATACTAAACACATATGAGAGACAAGTTGCTAAACACACAAAGAAGTGGAGGAGTAAAATGCAACATACTTTTCCCAGGAGCTCCTCCTTCACATCTTTGTGACATGGCAAGATGTTGTAGGATGCCTGTATAGCAAATTACTGTACATGTGTGTGTATGTCCAGATGGGCTGGTAGATTGTGCTGATGCCGAGTGCTGTTCGACAACCCCCTGCCACCAGTCCACACTGTGCCTCACTTCTGTTGACCCCATCGACATCCTCCTGAGGAAGCAGCCACCTGCTGTCACCGCCTCCTTCTTCCAGCGGATGCGCTTCATTGTGGAGGAGGGCTCTGTCCAGAATTATGCCGAGGGCTCCGCCTTTAATGCTAGGTTGGTGTGGTCATTTATGCTGGTGGTGGTGTAGTGGTAGGTGTGAGTGGTGGGCAGGGATGTGCTGTAACTAATGGTGGTACTGTAACAGGTACTGGTGACAGTGCCTTAAGATGCAGTATATGGCAGAGGTATTATTACAAGTGTGGTAGCAGTAGTACTGATTGTGATAGTATAGTCAGAAGTGGTGGGTGTGGGGTAAATTTGGAGGCGAGTGTTGTGAACTCAGTGGTACGTGGGTATACCATATAGTAGAAAGTATGGGGAGGGGGGAGGTGGTATTATTTATGCACAATTATAGCAATTTATGTGGCGTGATGCTGATTTTGAGGTCCTTTTCCATATCTGTTACTAGCAGGTTCAATCCTTTTGACCCTAGACTGTTCAGATTGAACTCCAGCAGCTTCTTGTTTGACTACTAGTTTAGCCTCCCCAGACCTCCCTAAAGTCTGTTTGTCCATGTTTTTTGTTCATGTCTGCTTTACATCAGCAAAGAGTAATATACAAGACATTTCCTCTGAGAGATCATTAATGTAATTTAGTAACAGCAGCAGCTTCACTACTGGCCAGCATTATGATGCTTCACTCATTATTTTGTCTCCAGTTTTTTTGGTTTGTGGATTAGTGTCTCGTGAAGTACCTTACTAAGATTTTTGTTGTACAGGTATTTTTTTTATAATATGCAGTCTCTCTAGCCATGCTTTTTCCATTTATTCTGTATTGTAAATCTCTAATTGGTTCATGAAATAGGATTTCCCATACCTGCCCTCACAGGGTAATTTTATACATGTCAGATGTGAGCACTGAAGAGTATCATCGGTGTAATGACATCTCATTTTAAGGTCATTTAATACACCCTATTATTTTCCTGGCCTGAGTTATCTTTACCTTGTGTTCTTAAAGTTAGATAATCTGACATTAATATTCCTTGGTCTCTTGCCTGTTCTTAATCTTCAGTGAAAAAAAAAGACAGATGTTTCGAGTTCCTTCTTGTCTTATTGAAGCAGTTGGAATTTGCTGTTCCCACTACATCTCCAGTATTGCCAACACTCCATATCATCTAAAACCTGGGACACTATCCTCAAATAAAGTATTATAGTTTAATTAAAAAGAAAAGAATATCCGGTAAAAACTCTAAGAAATACTCAATATAGCAGAAGAGGAAAGTAAAGGAGTAAGGAAAGGTAATATCAGATCTCATGCTCAAGGATGACAGCAGTGATGCTGTTGCATGCAAGGAAATTAATAGGCTGGATAACTAGAACTTTCAGAACACAAGATGCTAAGCCAGTGATAATATTCTGAGTCAATATGTACTCTCTAAACTGAAATATTACTGAACTCTAACAGCCTCTTTTAAGGAAGGCAAAAATCATAACTGGAGATTATGCAGAGAACCTTCACTGCCAGTATAAATTCACTCAAGCACCTAAATTATTGGAAATGCCTCAAGTCCCTGGAACATTAGCTAGAAAATTCTAGAGGGATTGGTATCAAACCTGCAGACCGAAATTATTCTACAAGAACAAAAGACTCAGCAGATGGTGCAAGATACCTCCAGTGAAAAACGTGGGGGCAGCGAGTACACTAAGAAACAACTCAATAAGTGTGAAGGGACCAAGACTCCTCAACACCCTCCCTTCATGTATAAGCAAAATATTTCTTAAACCCTTAGCTGTCTGTAAGAGGGATCTGGATACATTTTTGTTTTTAATTAATTCCTGCTCAGCCAGGCTCTGTTGCCTTTATTGGACTGCATGTGGCTAACATCAATAGCCTTGTTGATCAGGCCATCAACCAGGAAGCCTGAGCCATGGTGATCCTGGAATCATCTTCAGGTAACCTTGTAATATTGGTTTCAGAATGTTGGCATAAATACGTATCTATTTTGATGTTTTCATATTGCATATTTTTCTTCACAATCCTTGTTTTTTTTTCCCCTTTATTTTCAGTTCATCTGTTACTCTTAGTCTTCTTCGAATCTTTAATTTCTTGACTTATAATTTTTATCTTATATTGTTGGAGTTGGAATAACTGTGTTTTGAGAATATTTTTACTTTAAGTTTCTTCTGAGGTTCATGATAATATGTGATAACTTTGGTAATGCTGATGGCAGTTTTGGTATGGTGATGATTCTGGTAATGGGGATAGTGATAGTAGCAGTGAAGATGGTGTTGCTGGCTAGTAGTGATAGGGGTGGAAGCAGAGGTGGTAATGGTGGTTGTAATGGTATTGGTGATAGCAGTTGTGGTGAAACAAGGGCAGAATAAGTGGTGAAATATGAAGGTATAGGAAGTGTAATAAAAATGCATGAGGGGGAGAAAACATAAGAGTGGAAGAGGTAGAGATGTAGATCAGAGAAGTGCTTAAGTGATATTTGCTGGTAAAAATAAAAGCGGATGAAGAAAAGTTGCTGGTAAAAATAAAAAGCAGATGAATAAAAAGTGTTGGTGAGGGAGGATGATGATGTGATGGTGGCATGTTTGGTTGGCTGGCCTAGTGGTCTCCTCCATTGCAACTAATTACCCTGTCCTGCACAGCAGTGCCTCTACGATGGAGGACAATGGTGTCGAGCAGACATGATAATGTGGTTAAATTAAGGATTTTGCCGGCTCTCCACACGTGTGCTTACCTAGTTGTGCTTAAAAGGGGTTGAGTCATGGCTTCACCTCTTAACTTATATCACAAGGCTTTACTGATTCCCAGTCTTCTGGGCTCATTCATACAATCTTGAAACTTGTGTACTGTATAGTGTCTATCTACCTTTACCACTTCTACACTGAGTGGACTCATTACCCAGAGACTGAAAATGCATTTCCTAACATCCCAGGAACTTGTGTGTTCTCAGCTGCTATGTTTCCTGGTCTTTCTACTATTGTTGTTAAACTGAGCTCACTAGTAGTCCAAACTGAGCTCTTCAGTTTTTGTACCAACCAATATTATAATAATAATGATAATATATTGGCAAACTATGGGCAAATTGGAAAATCTGTTCACAATGTACATTATACCAAAATTGGAATGTGCACTAGTGCTGTGGTGTTCTCACTTTGAAGAACATGTGGATAAAGAGCAAGTCATACCTATTAGTCTTTTACAATAAAGCTCAAGAATATACACAAGAATGCAACAGATGTGCTGATTACCTTTCCTTAGAGGGGTAATAAAGGCACTGGTACCAGAGAGCAATAAAGACACAAAGCAGAGGAGGGAATAAAGACACAGAAGAGGAGGGAATAAAGACACTGGTACCAGAGAGGCAATAAAGACACTAGTAACAGAGGAGGGAATAAAGACACTAGTAACAGAGGAGGGAATAAAGACACTAGTAACAGAGGGGGGAATAAAGACACTAGTAACAGAGGGGGGAATAAAGACACTAGTAACAGAGGGGGGAATAAAGACACTAGTAACAGAGGGGGGAATAAAGACACTGGTAACAGAGGAGGGAATAAAGACACTGGTAACAGAGGAGGGAATAAAGACACTGGTAACAGAGGAGGGAATAAAGACACTGGTAACAGAGGATCCATTGTCTGCCTACCTTTAAAAAAAAAGAATGAACTCTACAGACTATAGGAAGTACAGTGGAACCTCGGTATGCGACCTTAATTCATTCCAGAAGGCTGTTCGAGTGCCGCTCCATTTGAGTATCGAACAAGTTCTTCCCAACCAATTTTCTGTTTGGCTGGCTGTTATCACTAATCATTGTAGGCCCCATGGTAACTTATTTATACAATACAAAAAAACACCAAAAAATGCAAAGAAACATGAAAGAGTTTACAGAGTAGTTCTGGCAGGTCATATTTGTTTGGTCGAGTGCTGAGCTTTGTTCGAGTAGGGAGCTGGTCTTATATCAAGGTTCCACTGTATATTCTTAAAAAAATTGTATGACAAACAAATTACCATTAATGAAATATCATAAACGTAACTCTACTAGGTGTAATGTTATATGTAATACAACTTAGCGTGGCCGAATCATAATGTCACACTTTTTTTCTTCCTGTAAGTGTGCTGAGCTGTATAGTATTACTGTACATCACTACATGCTCAAACCTTTCCACTTTCCTCCCTTACAAGTCCAACACATGTCTTTTTTCTCCATTCCTGTGTTTATTTTGTTCAATTTGCCAAAATCATCACACAACATTTTTCTTGAATGTTTTATTATGTTTCCCACATTTGAATTTTCGAAAGCTGCTCTTACTGGAATAGTTCAAATATCATCTCCACTGTACCATAGTAATGATTTATTTAGGTATTCTGAATGAGGAAATACGTTACAGTGTATTGGATGTGGAAATTTTATGTACTGTGTTTACCAGATATATTGAGCTATGCAGAAACAAGAAAGCATAGTATTGTTAATTATATTTTCATTATGCTTCTAAAATTGTGTCAAAATGATAAAAGTCTTTGCTATATAATGAAGTATTTATTTTATATATAGTATAATTGTGGTGTCCATTTGTCCTGCCTATCTGTATACTCTCCTCACCAACTTACCTCCCTGCATCCCCCTACACTATGCCAACATTGTATGAAATAGCAACAACCCCTGTTTCCTAAAACTTAGCTGACTCATCACTAGCATTATCATTGTGTTTCCTGTTTTAATGAACCACCATCACCATAATTGTTTTCATCTCATTACTTGACCACTGACATCTTCCAAAAGATTACCCAACTATCACTATCATCTCCCTAAACATTATCATCATTTCTTCTTTCCTAACATTAAGACCATCATTTCTGCATCAAATGCATTATTCCTAAGGCTTCCTTATTACATTGTTCATCATTGCATTCTTATTTAATTTCAGTACACCACATAATTATTTTATCTTCTTTGTCCCTGAATTGTTTTATTGTTTATCTGTTTTGTGTTGGGAAAACGTTGTCTGTGTACCGTACCTAAATGTGGCTATTTGTTTGTTGTCTGTGTTGCTGTGCTTTTTTAAATTATGCACATAATACTGTAACTGTGCATATACTTGTAAACAGGCATATATAAATAAATATAATGCATTCATATTGTGTACCATACTGTACTGTATATACTCTACATTATATGCATGTGCACACACATGAACATACACATATACAAAGATTCAGAAATACAGGCCCCCACATAGGTACATGATCACAAGTATGTACTGTACACACTAATACACTGATCCACCAACGACGGATGTTGTTAACATATCTATACTGTACGTGTCTCAGCTTTATCTGGCTCTGTATTAAAGCAGTTCAAACCTCTCATTATCAAATCCCTGGCATGAAATACAGGCGCTTCTTGACTTACGACGGGGTTACATTCCAGTGAACTCATTGTAAGTCAGAAATATCGTAAGTCAAAAATGAACAGGATATGCTAAGTAAATAAATAAATACTAGTGTCATTGAATAAGTAAATAAACAAATAATTACTGTATCTAACTAAATACCAGTATTGAAAAGTAAAAAAATGTATACAAGTTACGGACTTGCAGTCTTCATCATGCTGGGTAACATCTTTAGTTTTTTCTCCAAAGTAATCGCTCTCGCACCATTGTAAAGTCAAAATATTGTAAGTCGAACCATCATAAGTCGAGGCGCACCTGTACTTGTATAGTATATTTATATGATCTTCCAATTTAAAACATTTGTCTGCTAGTCTCTCATCTGGCATTTTATCAACTGCTCTGTAAATTAATGTATTGTGTAAAAAAATAACTTGTCTTAATAATCAGGCCTGTGTTTCGCTGGAGACTTTTATCATTTAAAAATTCTAGTAAAAGTACATTTTTATTTTTTGTATGAAGAGCTTGGCCATATTCTTCGTTTTTACTGTAAGAGAGATTCTAGTTTCATCTTTAAGTATGTGCCTGTTTTGGCATTGTAATTTAACAGATCACCAATTATGAAGAAAGTACTGTACTCTGTACTTTTGTAAGTACTTTCTGCATCGTAACGCTTATCCTTGCCCTACATACCATCACTAAGAAGAGATAAGTGAATAGGCCAAACTCCTGTATGTGTGCAGTGTAAGCTCATGATATATCAAGTACTGTATCTGGATAGATTACTGACAGGCTAGTACTCTGGTATGCTGCTTACTGACTGCCTCTGACTTAACTAATACAGATGGTCTATTTTCCTTCAGCATGCACAGGACTTTCATAAATGAGAGGTGAGTGTTACAGTGCATGAGGTAGACTGTCAGTCATGTGCACTGCCTGCCTGCTCTCTCAGTGTTTCACTTTTTTTTTTTTGGGGGGGGGGGGCTGTAGATTTTTTGCGGTATGACAACTGCAAATGCATGGTTTGTTTTAGCATTGCACTTATTTTACCAGTACTGTATTTTTTTTGTTTGTTTACAAAAATGCAAAACCTGTTGTTTTTGCTTGTATAAAAAGTAATGAGGAGTTGTAACAAGAGAGGCAGTATTAAGTGGGCATAAATTTATTATGCAGGTACAGTATTGTTGAAGAATTCCATTTGATTGTTTTGTAATACATTATTAAGACTTTTCTCAACAGTAACTGACCATGTTACCAAATTGTGTAAAGTGTTACACACATTTTTCTTTATATGCTCCTTTTTATCATCTTGATGGAAGCATAGCAATGCATTTTATTTGATCTTTTTTGCCTTGCAAATCAACTTGTTACCCTTCATTATTGTTACTGTACATATTCTTATTTCCTCTCATCTTTGCTTGAAATTTTATCTTAAAAAATTGTGTGATTTATTATATCCAGTTTTTTATAGTTTGTATAGAAATCTACTTTTACTTTTTAAAGTACTAATTGCTTACACTGTATAAATTGATAATTTTGTTTCCATTAATTTTGCACTTAAACTATGCTTAGGAGCATTAAATCAGTCTTTTTCTTAATGATTTTATTAAATTTTTGGCATGCATCTTTCTTCCACAGTATTTACCGATTTTGCAGGGATAGTATTTTTTGATGAATCTATATTTCCAATTATAAATGTTTACTTATATAAATTGGTTTCATATGAGTAAAAATTATACACATTCATTGTCCTATAAGTAAGTGAAAGATAATGGACCAACAGCCGTGCATCTGTAGTACGTGGACGTGTCATCAGTGGGAGAGGGACTGGATTACGGGGCGTTCGTGTCTCTCATTATCGGCCAGCAGACACGGGCTTCACACTTACTCGTCCTGGAGGGTGGTTCGATCTCATGGTTAATGGAGGTGGTGCTGTCAGACTCCTCTTTGGGAAGTCACCATTTCTGCCTGTTACTGAGACTGTCTGGGTTCCCTGGAATGAGGTTTGTTATTTATGTTTGTGCTGGTTGCCGTGTTTGTTTTTCATTTCATACATTGACAAAAAAAAAATTATACAGTAGGTTAACACAGCTGTAGCAGTCAGTTGTTTAGAATAATCAGTTGTCCAAAAAACTTTATGAAAATAATTATGCTGAGTAATCTGGAAAATGGTCAGCAATTTGGTGAACTGTCAGTTGTACAGACTTACTGATGCATCTTCAAATAGAATCGTCTGTCTACCTTAATATATTGTACCTTATACAAGGAACCAATCAGGATTAGGGTAGTTTTTCAACCATATACTGTATTACTTAATACTGTTTTGTATACTCATACTGTACTGTGATACTCCTGTATACAGTATACTAGTGATAATATAATCAGTAGTCTGCAGTGATCCTTATTCTAGATATAACTTGATCCCAAACATTCTGGATAACTGATGGTGTAATCTTTTTTTTTCTTTTCAACACTGTCTACCACCATTATAATGTGACCCAAGAAAAGGAAGCACATGAACTATCATTCATTCAGTAGCTGTCTTGCCAAAATGCAGCATCCCCACCCCTCCAGAATACATGCATTTCTGTAAATAATAAAATAGTATGTAGGATAAGTGCATTATAACAAAAGTGTCAAATACCTTACCCAACATTGTGTCCTTCATTTTATGCTGTAGATGTGCTCCAAACCCTTGGCATCAGTATTAAGCTCACTCAGGCCTAAAGGTATCTAGTTACTTGTAAAGGAAATGCTCATTGCAAACTATGGCAATTGCATATAGCAACTGTAAATCACACATACAGAATTATTGTTAGAAATAACATCACATAATAGTGAATGCACATAAAACAAATCAGGGGTAAAGTAATGGGTGTGATACAGCCCACCTGGTCACAGCCAGTTAAAGAGGTAGGGGCCCCTTAATGGGGTTCCCTGATGCTGATGTAGAGCTCCTGATTCAAGGAATTGAAGCTACCTTCTTCTCAGATCAAATCAGGTGCTATATGACCCCTGTGGGTTTGTCAGTCGTGTTACTGTGTATTTGTGTAGTATACTTAGATAATCCCAGCTATGTTATAGAGAAGCTCCCTGGCTAGCGATGACATCATGAGTCACGCACACGTACTTCCTGCCACAGTGTTCCCCCTCAGTTCAATGGTAGGCATAGACAAGACAGGCAGACCTGGGCTTCTCCTACAAGACTCGCACGACTATACGCCTCCAGACATCCTACATGTGTATTTCTTACTCCAATATCTCCTCACAAACCCCCACGACAGGTGGAGTACTGTCCTGTAAATGTATTAATAAAGAGGCAGGGCCAAGAGCAACCACAAATAGTTAAGTACATACAGCCTTTGCAGTTATGACTGAATATTATTTTCTCACTCTCCAGATTGTTGTTACAAACACAATTGTCATGACAGTGGCAGATGTTGTGCCACCACCACCACCAACACCATGTCCAGACCACAACTACGATGCTCTCAAGCCAGTCGTCCTTGCCACATGGAAACATGGTTTCCAAGGAGGCTGTCCAGAGTGTTCAGCAATCTTGACAGAATCCCAGGTGGTGCAGGAATCTCTCAGTATCCCTGGAACTGGACTTCACCTTGTCTATCATTCTTCCAGGTTAGTGATAAGAAAAAACTTCAGTGGCAAAAGTGAGGCTCTTCTTAAGTCTCTTCAGTTGTGCTGATTATTAAATATGTAAATCAAATGTATAGCAGCTTTTATTTCAGCACAGAAATTTCTCTGCCTACTCCATATGAAAGCTGTAAGTATTTTCAAATGTCCAGGATATCAATCAAGCCTTAATTCCTCTGTGATTACCTGGTAATCCAAATAAATTGCCTGGGAGCACCTATACTGTAAGTAGCTATTTATACACTATACTAGTTTTGAATTTGTATAATACAGTGCTTTTAGCAGCAATATTTCAGTAAACATGATCCATTAGCCAGATGACAATTACTTTATTACTCTACTTTGCATAGCTGGTAAAAAAAAATGCCAAAAGATATTGTGTTGTCAGCTGTAGATGTGACTTAGCCAAGTTCATGATGTTGGTACACTAGTTCATGACAGACTTGGACTTCCAGCAGGCATGCATGAGCGTGTTCGATAGGAGTGAATGGAGACAAATGGTATTTGGGACCTGACTATCTGTTGGAGCGTGAGCAGGGTAATATTTAGTGAAGGGATTCAGGGAAACCGGTTATTTTTATATAGCTGGACTTGAGTCCTGGAAATGGGAAGTACAATGCCTGCACTCTAAAGGAGGGGTTCGGGATATTAGCAGTTTGGAGGGATATGTAGTGTATCTTTATACGTACACCTACCATCCGACTTACGACCTGCTCGACATACGACAACTCGACTTACGACCGTGTTTTTTAATGCCAAATTTCTGGGAAATAAACAAGTGTTTGTGTTGTATACAGTGTTTATCCTAAACCTTACAGTATAAAATACAGTACTAACAGCATAAAAAGTGAAGTAAAACATGAAATACCAAAATAAAACAAAATAAAGTCATTACAAAAATGTTATGTTGATATTCAGCAGTAAAATTCGACTTAAGTCCATTTCGACTTACGACTGGTTTCTCGGAACCGAACTTGGTCGTAAGTCGGATAGTAGATGTATATGCTTCTAAACTGTTGTGTTCTGAGCACCTCTGCAAAAACAGTGATTATGTGTGAGTGAGGTGAAAGTGTTGAATGATGAAAATATTTTCTTTTTGGGGATTTTCTTTCTTTTTGGGACACCCTGCCTCGGTGGGAGACGGCCGACTTGTTAAAAAAAAAAAAAAAAAAAAGGGACACCGGCCTATCAGGAAACTAATAACTGCTGTTAGTTAATTACTATCAACTTTTGCAGTTTGCCTTTATATTATCGGTTACAATATTAATGTGAAAATAGAAAAATTGAGGTTTGTAACTGGAAAGTAAATAATTAGAATAGAATTTATTTTTGATATAGGTTAACATATAAATGCATGTGAAATAGTAGAATTCTTTGTTTTTCAATGCCAGAGCCTTGGGCTATGAATCTACCATCCAGCTGCAGCTGACACCATCTGTGATCCCAGAGACCCTGCGCAGGATATACCTCAGGATCACCATTGAGGGTATCCTCTTTGAGAAAACCTTTGAAGCTGATCCAGATATCAAGTTCACCTATGCATGGAACCGTCTCAATGTCTACAGGTGAAATATTCTTTCAAGGCTTACAGCAGAATGCTCTGTATAAACCTTTGCTTATTTTAAATACTGTACAAGTAATTTTTTAGCTGAAAATTGTCTGCCTACAATAATGAAACAAAATTTATAAAATTAAAATGCTTTACTGCGTACTTCCACAATACAGGACTACTGTATATAGCTATTCCTTATTTATTGTGTTTTGGTTGTAATTTAATAATTATGATTACCAAACTAATTTCCTTATTTTATTATGATGTGCAGGCAGCGTGTCTATGGTGTAACATGGGCTGTTGTGAAAGTTGGGTTTGCTTATAGCAATTGTGACCAAGTAATATGGGATGCTCAGACTACCCAGGTGTCTGGACATGACATGAGCATCTCAGACATTGGTGGTTGGGATCTCTCTATCCATCATAGATACAATTTCCATGAAGGTGAGTCAATAAGGTAATCAAAAAAAGTACTCTCGATTCACCAGCCTGTAATTATAAAATTCAAAACATATGCACTAAATTACTAATATATTTCAGCAAATTGTGGAAGTAGAAGAGAGCAACCATATAAATAAATAGGGGAGCTGAGGATATGTAACCAAGAATAAGATCAAAACCAAAATTCAATTCGGATAAATTCAAATTAAGAAATGATATAGAAAGCTACAAGTTTGGCAGCAGAGTTGTAATTGTCTAACAGGTTAGACAAATGAACAAGAATGGTTGGGTGTATGACCTACCTAACATACTCCAGTAGGCCATTTGCAGTGCTATTTTATTATGATAGTATGGGTAATAAATACAGGTGTTGCAGGTAATATGGCCAGACTCAACATTTTAATTTTGGTAAACAGTTTCTTAGTACAGTGGACCCCCGCTTAACGATCACCTCCAAATGCGACCAATTATGTAAGTGTATTTATGTAAGTGCGTTTGTACGTGTATGTTTGGGGGTCTGAAATGGACTAATCTACTTCACAATATTCCTTATGGGAAAAAATTCGGTCAGTACTGGCACCTGAACATACTACTGGAATGAAAAAAGTTCGTTAACCGGGGGTCCACTGTACTTGCAACTTGAGCAACTAGCAGGCTTGTGCGACTATGTTACATAGGAGAGAAAGGAGACAAGCGGTTTTTAACTGACATGCTGTTGGAGTGTGAGCAGGTTAACATTTATGAAGGGGATTCAGAGAAACTGGTTAGCCAGACTTGAGGCCTGGAGGTGGGAAGGGCAGTGCTTGCACTATGAAAAAGGAATGGGATTGTTGCAGTTGAATTGTGATGTCATCTTACTTCTGGCAAGACAAGGATTTAATGATTGGTGGGAGTTATGGTAGTTGTTGAGGCCACAAAAAAAAAAAAAAATTACATTCAGAGGGTCATCTGAATTATGCTGTTTGCATTACAGGCAAGACAGATGAGTGAGTAATGCTTCCTTTAATGGGTCACCCTGCTTGGGTAGGAAATAGCTGTGATAATAACAGTTCATTATTTTCAGGCATTCTTTACTATTAGTAAAGTCAAGCTCACCCTTCCTGTAGTAATAGTGCATACTTCATGTAATGGTTTTGAAGACAGTACAGATGTGCAGAAATAAATGAGTTCAATACACAAATAATCCGTAAATGGTCAAAGTCAGACCAAAATGTCGTCATAAGTTTCTCTCTCTCCTATGTACAGTTATTTGTCTATTGTGCCTTTTTGTTCTCAATGAATGGTTGTTAAAAGAAAAAGATATGGAAGACAGGGGTAGGAGAATGTCTGCAGTTCATCTAATGTAAATGCTTTATCAGTAAAAATGAAAGAATAAAGGGGTTTATATGCTCTACCTGATTAGTCTTGCTTGCTTTGTCAATAATGGTAAACTACTAACAGTGTTGGATAACCAGTTTATTGTATCTGAATTGATCCTAAATATGAATATAGTAAACTAGATTTAATGGGCTAATATGGAGAGGAGCTGGTGACCAGTAATGGTGTTAGTGATGAGTAAATACAAGACTTTTGCTGTGATTGCAATAACCATGGAAAATTCTTTAGCCTGGTTTCAAATCAACTGACCCAGTAGATTGTATCCTAATCTTCAAAATTCATTAAATCAAGACACTGTAAAGAGAGAGAGTACTGTATATGATGCATTATTTCTTGTGGGAAAGGACTTTCAGAAAATAAATGTACAAAGTTTTCATATAAAATTTATGTAAATATAACCAAAGTACAGGCAAACTTATCTCCATCCCACACTTACGAATTACTGTATTTTACAGCATCGAAGATGCTATCTTTTCCCTAAATAAGTCTCAGAAATTTAACCAGCATCTTGGAGACTAAGTACCATTTATCTTTTTTTTTCCAAAATTTAGCCAATCAGAATTGATGGGGGGATATTTGGCTCCTGACGAACCATCATATATTAAACCTTTATTTTCCATAGGTGCAGTGTTATAAATGGGGTTCTCTTCATAAGAACCACTTAAAAAAAAAAATAAAATTGTATTATTTATTAACACATCAGCCGTTTCCCACCAAGGCAGGGTGGCCTGAAAAACCAAAACTTTCATTATCATTCACTCCATCACTGTCTTGCCAGAGGCATGCCTACACTGCAGTTATAAAACTGCAACATTAACACCCCTCCTTCAGAGTGCAGACACTGTACTTCCCATCTCCAGGACTCAAGTCCGGCTTGCCAGTTTCCCTGAATTCCTTCATAAATGTTACCTTTCTTACACTTCAACAGCATGTCAAATCCTAAAAACCATTTGCCTCCATTCGCTCCTGTCTAACACATTCGCATACGCTTGCTGGAAGTTCAAGCCCCTTGCACACAAAACCTCCTGTACCCCCCTCCCTCCAACCTTTCCTAGGCCGACCCCTACCCCGCCTTCCCTCCACTACAGATTTGTATATTCTTGAAGTCATTCTATTTCGTTCCATCCTCTCTATGTCCAAACCATGTCAGTAACCTCCTCGGCCCTCTGGATAATGGTTTTGGCAATCCCACACCTCCTCCTAATCTCCAAACTACGGATTCTATGCATTATATTCACACCACACATTGCCCTCAGACATGACATCTCCACTTCCTTCAGCCTTGTTGCAACATTCACAACCCATGCCTCACACCCATACAAGAGTGTTGGTATAACTATACTCTCATACATTCCCCTCTTTGCTGTCATGGATAAAGTTCTTTGTTGCCACAGACTCCTCAGTGCACCACTCACTTTTTTTCCCTCTTCAGTTCAATGATTCACCTCATCCTTCATAGACCCATCTGCTGACACATCCACTCCCAAATATCTGAACACATTCACCTCCTCCATACTCTCTCCCTCTAATCTGATATCCAATCTTCCATTACCTAATTTTTTTTTGTTACCCTCATCACCTTACTCTTTCCTATATTCACTTTTAACTTCCTTCTTTTACATACCCTACCAAACTCATCGGCCAACCTCTGCAACTTCTCTTCAGAATCTCCCAAAAGCACATCATCATCAGCAAAGAGCAACTGTGACAACTCCCACTTTGCGTTAGATTCTTTATCTTTTAGCCCCACACCTCTTGCCAACACCTGAGCATTCACTTCTCTTACTATTCCATCTATAAATATATTGAACAACCATGGTGACACCACACATCCCTGTCTAAGGCCTAATTTTACTGGGAAATAATCCCCCTCTAACCTGAGCCTCACTATCCTCATAAAAACTTTTCACTGCTTTCAATAACCTACCTCCTATTCCATACACTTGCAACATCTGCCACATTGCCCCCCTATCCACCCTATCATATGCCTTTTCCAAATCCATAAATGCCACAAAAGCCTCTTTGCCCTTATCTAAATACTGTTCACCTATATGTTTCACTGTAAACACTTGGTCTACACACCCCCTACCTTTCCTAAAGCCTCCTTGTTCATCTGCTATCCTACTCTCAGTCTTACTCATAATTCTATCAATAATAACTCTACCATACACTTTAACAGGTATACTCAACAGACTTATTCCCCTGTAATTTTTACACACTCTTTTGTCCCCTTTGCCTTTATACAAAGAAGCTATGCATGCTCTCTGCCAATCCCTGTATACCTTATCCTCTTCCATACATTTATTAAATAAAAACACTAACCACTCCAAAACTATATCCCCACCTGCTTTTAACATTTCTATCTTTATCCCATCAATGCCAGTTGCTTTACCCCCTTTCATTCTGCTCACTGCCCCATGCACTTCTCCCACACTCACAACTGGTTCTTCCTCACTCCTATAAGATGTTATTCCTCTTTCTTGGATCACCCTGCCTTGGTGGGAGACGGGCCGACTTGATTAAAAAAAAAAAAATCCATTTCATAACAATATAAACACCAAAAAATATTGTGGAGATTGAGGAAAACTAAATGAAACAAATATATGGCTTTACAAACATTTAACAAAAGCATCGTGAACAGCAAAAATAGTCGAGATAATGAACAATAATAACAAGGTATGTGGAAAAGATGCATGCACTGCTAGCAGCAGGAGCAGACTGGCAAGTCTGACTCATGTTGTGCATTTCTTGCTTTGGGATGTGTAGTCTGCATTGTATGCTATTATAAATGAGGCATGATGTAAATTGAGTTTTCAGGGGCTTTATGAAAATATGGTCATAAATGCAGGAGGGGGTCACAAGTAATTCTGTCATTTCTCTAGCATTTTTCATTTGTATATTCAGGATTTTTTTTTTTTTTTAACAAGTCGGCCATCTCCCACCAAGGCAGGGTGACCCAAAAAGAAAGAAAATCCCCAAAAAGAAAATATTTTCATCATCATTCAACACTTTCACCTCACTCACACAATCACTGTTTTTGCAGAGGTGCTCAGAACAACAGTTTAGAAGCATATACTTATAAAGATACACAACATACCCCTCCAAACTGCCAATATCCCGAACCCCTCCTTTAGACTGCAGACATTGTACTTCCCATTTCCAGGACTCAAGTCCAGCTATATAAAAATAACCGGTTTCCCTGAATCCCTCCACTAAATATTACCCTGTTCACACTCCAACAGATCGTCAGGTCCCAAATACCATTCGTCTCCATTCACTCCTATCGAACACGCTCATGCACGCCTGCTGGAAGTCCAAGCCCCTCGCCCACAAAACCTCCCTTACACATTTGTATCCATGCATCCTGGTATCTACACATTCAATACTTTCATACATTAAATTCCTGATAGACTATGGCCAACATTACCACTTTAGTCATGGTGCAGACAGAAAGTGATGAAAGGGATTGGATTTAAATATAATTTGGGCACATTACATCACCTGCAGAATTTATGAAATTTACAAGATTAAACAACTGTACTGATAAATTGGTGTATGGAGTTTGCAGGAATATACTGTACAGGTAATTTATAAAGATTAAGATTCAACTTGTGTCTTTTTCAATACAAGTTTAGTTTAATTTTAAACTTTCCTACATTTAGGCATCCTACAGAAGGGTGATGGACGTAATATGCACATGAAACAGAAGCCACGTGTGCTGCAAACTCTAATGGGAGATGGTCATCAGAGAGAAGTATCATGCAGAGCCTGTGATGGGCCTGCAGATAAGCAACGCCTTTTGACTCCTGCAGCACTTGCTTCAGGCCCTGATGGATCATTATACATTGCTGACTTTAACTTGATTAGACGTGTTTTACCAGATAACACAGTCAAGACTGTGGTTAAATTAAAGTAAGTACAGGTATTTCATTATGATTAAGCTTCAAATCAAATTAAAAATGTCTAAGAAAATTAGTTGGATATTATATTTTATTAAAAATTAAATTTTGTAAAACTAAATGCTTATAATTGACATCTCTTATTTTACATAATAATTCAACTTTTGTTTTTACTATTGCAGCGAGACCAGAGTTTCTTACCGTTACCATTTGGCTGTAAGCCCAGTCACTGGTGACGTTTACATCAGTGACCATGAGGCCCATCTGATCCTGAAGGTTCGTGACCCAGATGACTTCGCCAGCCCTGAGGAAAATTATATGCCTTATGTGGGATCTGGTGAACGTTGTTTACCCGGTGATGAAGTGGGCTGTGGTGACAACTCTCTTGCCAGAGATGCCAAGCTCCAGTATCCAAAAGGAATGGCTCTTTCTTTTAATGATGTCCTTTACTTTGCTGATGGCACTAATGTTCGTGCAGTAGATGCTGATGGAATCATCAATACAGTAATTGGCACTCACCGACATCGTGCACACTGGAGACCACTACCATGTGAAGGAACTGTACCAGTGTCTGAAGTCAGTTTACGCTGGCCAACTGCTTTAGCCATCAGCCCCTTAGATGACTCTTTATATGTTTTGGATGATCATCATGTATTGCGGCTGACTCATGATGGACAGATTAAAGTAGTGGCTGGTAGACCTCTCCACTGTCCTCCCTTAGGTCATGATGTACCATCTGATCTTGCAGCTCATACTACTCTTCGCTCTCCACAGAGTCTAACTTTTGCCCCGAATGGAGACCTTTACATCGCAGAGAGTGACAATGAGCGTATAAATCGTGTCCGTGTTATTGAAACAGATGAACGAATTCATGATTTTGCCGGTGCTGATTCAAAATGCAACTGTCAAGAGGAAAGCTGTCCTTGTTATGACGAATCCCATGTATTAGCTGCTACAGCTGTGTTCTCAACCATTTCAGCACTAGCCGTGACCCCAGATGGTACAGTACATGTACTAGATCAAGGTAACCTGCGCATCCGTTCTGTTACCTCCTCTATCCCAGAGCCAAATGCACAACGTATGTATGAGATCTACTCTCCAGAAACACAGGAGGTATATATATTCAATAGATTTGGGCATCATGTGGAGACGCGTAGTATTCCAACAGGGCGTACCATCTATATGTTTGCATACAATGTAAATACCAGCAATGGCAAACTGTCTACAGTCACAGATGCTGGTGGAAACCGTGTATCTTTCCTCCGTGACTATACAGGACAGGTTACCATGATAGAAAACTCCCGCCAGCAAAAGTGCCGGTTGCAGATGTCAAGGACACGCCGCCTCGAAGAGTTAGTAACACCTGACGAACACAATGTAACCTTGACATATCATGGCGCTCTGGGTCTTTTGCGATCACGAATGGATTCTACAGGCCGTGCCCATGTCTATACCTATGACATTTATGGTCGCCTGACACGCACAGTCACTCCCTCAGGTCAAGTTATAGATTTATCATTTGACTTGAGCCAAAAGGGAGCTAGAGTAACTGTGACTCGGGATGGCACTGCACCAATCACCATGCTCATCAAGGGTGCACTTGTCACACAGACCATTGGTAGGTTTTTTTTATTTTTTTACTTGAAATGAATTGCCCTAGTTTTGAATATGGTTACAATGATAAAAATAAAAACAGTAACAGCTTAATTATCCTAAATTATAAAGGCAGTCACTCTGTACAACTATTATTCTTGTTAAAAGACAATTGTTATCCCAGTTTTAATATAAACAAATTATTCCGTTAGGCTCAGCGTCGAGTGTTACAGCTCAGCTCCCTGATGGATCGGTTGTGACACGTACAGCTTGGGGTCATCACATAGCCACTGAGACTGTACCATACACACTCTTGCAAGATCACACACTTGCCCACTCATTCCCAGTCTCAGGAAGGCAACGTACAGAAATTGGAGACGAACTTGTCAACAGCTTTGATTGGAAGTACTTTGTGGAAACTAGTGATCAAAATGGACCAGTAACCCAGGTAACTGCAATGTTTGCTCTAATTAACCCATTCAGAGGCCAAATCTCAGTGACATTCAGGGTCCAAGAATTTTCAAAAACAATTTTTGTTAATTTTTCTTATGAAATGGTAGAGAATCCTTTTCTGAAGGTAATAAAGTAAAAAGTATGAAATTTGACGAAATTACACTCGCAGATTTTGATGTGTTAGCGATATTTACGCATCAGCGATTTTGCCGACTTTGATTCCCATTTTAGGCCAATTTCATTATTCCAGTCGACAAATTCTTAGCTATTTCTCTAGTATTACTTCTATTTCATTGAGTGGGCACAAGAAATTGCTCAGTCAACTGTTTCAACTACCCAATAAAGTGATTGGAAATTGGTAATTTGGCAAATTTAACACAGTTCAAAATATTCCAATTTGAAAATAGTGTCCAGAATAAACAATGCAGGCATTCCTGGCACTAAACTAACATTTCCTCTGTTCATTAGTTACATTTTCAGGCTTTACAAATGAATTCCATTTTGAATTTTTATTCACATAATGAATTTTTATTCACACCAAAAAATAGAACATTTACTGTTATGCAATGTTCTAATACGTAATTGTATAAATAATACCAGTGCATTCGTGAACATACATTAGACCCACCAGCTGAAGTGTATTAGATTCATGACGACATTTGTGTACTCTTGAACATCGGCAAAAATTTAACATTTCCGCTACTTTGAGCTTAGTTTCAAGCCATTTTCAGTACTTAAACCAATCAAAATCATCTCTATTTCTGTAATATTGCATTATATCAAATGAAACCAAGAAATCGCAAATACAATTGTAAAAAATATACAAAAAAAAAAACTCCGCTAAGTTGCTATTTTAATCCAAAATTACAGTCACAGTTTTTTTCCTTTCATTATGCACTGCGTGCTGCAGGATTTGTTTTATGTGGTGCACACTTATCACATACCTAGGCGCAAATTTACCGCTCCCAGGTTATCTGAGCGAGCCGAGCTCATGGCATAGATCTACGGTTTGGACCCCGGCTTCAAAGCTGTAGATCTATGGCATGGACCCTGAAAGGGCTAAATAATTAATGTTTTTAATGCAAAATGCAGATAAGGCTACATTTTTCAGTTCCTATATTATTTCATTCAACCTGAACACAGAACTATAACTTGCTTTTACCCATATGGTAAAGGCAAAAGTGATCAATTTTACTGAAAGACAGAGGGATATTTGAAGGTGTTGAAACTGGAGAGTTTGGAAAGTACTCAAGATTAATTATTTGTATTGTGAGATATACTGTACTTGTTTTATTTCCTTTCAGTTCTTTGGGGATTTGAATAAGAATCCTTTCTCCCATTACAAATGTGTCATAGAAGAAAGCTAATATACCAAGAGCAAGAGACTAATAACTCTGTGTATCACTCACTAAAAAGACAGGAAATATTTTTCATATAGTAATTTTAAATATTTTTCTTTTGTATGTACATTTATTTATTTATTATTAATTTGGACATGATACATAGATGTACAAAGAAATACAGTGGTTAAGTGTAACATGCCAAAAGCCCCTTGTATGCAGAGCATTATGGGCAGGCTTAAAATTAACTTAAGATTAACTAAGCAATGATATATTCAGTGGCAAAAATTATAGTAAACAAATAACAATTAAGCACAAATGAGTATTTCAAAGACAGGTCATATGGTCATTTGCCGAGTTGCTGTGCATTAAATAGAATGGAGTATTCTGTTAGGTAATATAATTAAAACAAAAAAAAAGTTTGATAGGGTCACAGGTTAAACATTTATGAGATATAATTATTCAGTACGTATTTATTTAGTTGTGGGTGAGTAAGCGATTTTTAAGAAGAGACTTGAATTTATAAACAGTTTCTTTTATATTCACAGGTAATGAATTCCAGATTTTTGGGCCTTTTATGTGCATTGAGTTTTTGCATAGTGTGAGATGGACACAAATGTATGTATGAATGAATGTATTGTTATGAACTTTTTTACCCATTTAATAGGTTGGCCGAAAGATGAGGGTAAATGGTGAAGACTTGCTGACATTCAAGTATGATCTCTACACTGGAACAGAGGCTGTTTTAAATGAAGCAGGAGTCACCCTCCTCAATGTATCCTATGATCCTCTTGGACGGCCTTTGCGTTGGACTCCAGCTCAACCTTTTCTTCCTGTGGAGATGTCCTATGACAGATTTGGGCAGCTTGAGCATTGGTCTTGGGGTGATATGAAGGAAGAGTATTCCTATGACCGTAACGGAAGATTTGAGGGAGTTACTTATGCTGATGGTTCCAAGGTCATGTACTCTTTCAAGGACATATCTAGTGTTAAGGTATGTTACTACAGGTTGGTATAAAAAAAATATATATATAGTGATATATTTTTGTGCAGTTTTATATTTTACATATGCAGGGGGCTAATGTATCATGAATATTTTATTCCTTTCAGCCTTATAAAGTGAGTGTGTCATCTGGTGCTGAGCATCTCCTTGAACATGATGAAGGTGGAGCCTTGTCTGCTGTGACAACTCCACGTGGTCATAAATATGCCTTCCATGTCCAGCCATCTCTTCTCCACAATCGTTTCACCTTCACACCACCTGGATCACCACGTCACCCATACCAACTCTTCTACAGCGATGATGGTCGAAAGCTAGCAGAAATTTTACCGCATCAGGCTAGTCGTGTTATTTACCATTATGACGGCAGTGGACGTTTACATCAACAGCTGTTTGGTGATGGATCTGTTGAATATGGATATCATGCAGAGACTGGTCTTTTGCGAACTGTGTCTGTTAGAGAAAGAGGATTTGAGCTACGCAGTGACAACAAATATCACGCTGGGCTTGTGAAGGAGCAGAGAGTTAGATTTGGAGAGTCTTCCGGTTTGGATTCTGCCAAACTGAGATTCTTGTATGATGGAAATGCACGCCCAAGACGAGTTGAGGTAGAAATCAATGGGAAGGAGCAGCCAGATTATGATATGAAATATGATATGATTTTAGGTACTTTAGATAGTGTGGGAGACCTGAAAGTAACATCCTCATATCACAATAAAACGGTTGTACAGGATGTTAGAAAAACAATGTTGCGAGTAACTGGCTATGATCCCCATGGACGCATAGTAGAAGCAGCTTTAACCTTGCGCAGTCGCATGGTGCATCGAAGAAGGTACACTTATGATAGTCGTGGAAGACTTGCAACTATGTCAACTTGGCGAGGACCTGGGTCTCTTGAGATACGCAACAATTATACATACACTCCTGATGGTTTTCTACAGGCTGTAGATGGAGCAGAATCTTGGCAGTTCCGTTATGATAAAAATGGCAACATGATTGCTGTGGTGGAAGGTGGAAGAGAAATGACAGCAACGTATGATGGAGCAGACCGGTTGGTTGGCTGGGGTGATGTTGAACTTAATACTTACTCCCCAGGAGGTACTGTGGTGAGACAAGGTGAAGTCCATCTCTCGTATAGTGCTCGTGGAAACCTTAAATCTGCCTGGCAACAAGATCAGTATAAAATCTGGTGTAGACATGACCATCATGGACGGCTGACAGTATGGGAAGATGACCATGGTAATGTTACTCAGTTCTTCTATGCTGACTTACTCAGACCAAACCTTCCTACCCACATACACTATCCAAAACAAGGAGAAACACATTCTTTAGAATATGATGAACGTGGTCACCTTATGGCTCTACACACAGGAAGACATCGGCTTTGGGTCTCAACAGACCATCTAGGATCACCTGTGGCTGTGTTTGACGATTCAGGAGTATTGGTAAAAGAAATTGTCAGATCTCCCTGGGGTGCCACTCTTAGTGACTCAAGACCTGACCTCCTTTTGCACGTGGACTTCCAGGGTAGTCTTCGTGATCCTGTTACAGGATTTTTGGTATTTGGGCTCCACACTTATGATCCTGTCCATGCTCAATGGATGGCACCTCGTTATGACTTAGTAACCAGTGCTCCAAACCATGTGGGGGCTGTTTATGTCCATCGCTTCCATGATAATGATCCTGTTAATCTGATAACTCACCAGCCTCGACATTACACAGGTAAGAGGGGTCCATAATTATCATTTCAAGATATGATTAAATTACGTTTCATTGAAATGACTTTATATCCTTAAACTAAGTATTATTAAGCTGATATTTTTAAAAAGAAAAAATTATTTTTAAGTGTGTTAGTAATCAAATTTATTTTTTATATCAAACAGAATCAAGAGATTAAAAGAAAAAAAGTCCATTTGTTTAATATGCCTTCTGAAGTTCACTTTATTCATGAGTACATCAGCACATGTAACGTACTTTGTCTTTTATAATGCTGCAAATGCAGCATCATAAAATGTCTTTCACAATTCTGCAATTAAAAACTTTAGAATAATCTCTCATTCTTTTTTTCCAGATCTGGACAGTTGGCTCAAACTTTTTGGAGTTGATTTGTCAAAGATGTTAGGCTCAAGTTATCATGATGAGACAGTGGAAAAACAGAGAGGTGGCCTGTTAAAAGCATCACAGCTAGCACCATCTCTCAGTGTTATATCTGGCTTGTCCTGCTCCACAGGAGGTGTACTGAGACAGTTTTCACGACCTTCTCTGTTGCCAGAGTCTTTGGTGCGATCTAATGCACCAGCATGGGCCATTCCTGGCTGGGCAGCTCTAGGAAGATTCTCATCATCCCCGCCAGTATTGGGTCCTGGAGTTTTAGTGTCTCGCGTGAATGGTAGAGCACTCGTCTCTTTAGTGCCATCAAGAGAAAATCCTGTGGTGCAAGATGTAGCGAGGGATGTCCTTAATGGTTCAGCCTTACTTGATGTGACACTTACACACCATCACCACCACACACTTTATTTGGTCAAAGAAAATGCTGAACTTCGTCACGATGATTTACAGCAACTTCAGCGATTAAGTGGTCGATTTAATGTGTCGGCTAAGGAAAATGAAGAACACCATGAAATAAGGGTAGTAGGCAGCGATGTATCACTTGTATTGCTGTATGGTGTGGATCCATCCAATGCTCGTCACAGGCTTTTACGCCATGCCCATCGTCGGGCCGTTGACCATGCATGGGAGAATGAACGCTTATTATTAGAACGTGGGTCTCCTACAACTCATGAATGGACAGTGGAAGAACGTGTAGAGCTTATAAGTAAGGGAACTGTGCCTGGCTATATGGCTGCTGATATGCACTCCATTCATCGGTATCCTCTTCTGGCAGATGATCCAACCAATGTTGTCTTTAGACGTGATACTGGGCGACGGCGACGACGAAGTCAAGCTGGTATTCAGTCATGATCCGTGGGGCTGGGCACGGCCCTTGTACATACTGCTGTATAGTGTAGCGCTGTGAACCTGTACACACTGTACAAACAGGGTATTTCTCACGCATTGTACACATCTCTCCGAGCCGGAGAATAATCCTCACATGTGATAGAGGCAGACTGTGTGGTGCAGGCCATAGTGTCAGTAACTGAAGCTGCTGGGGGAGGGAAGGGGGGGGGGGGTAGAATGGGAGGTGGACAGAGTTGGTGTAAGAATGGTGCCTACATGGTGTCACGGACATGTGAAGAATGAGGTTCAGTGGACATTTTTATGTTCCACTGTAATCCTGGAGCACTGTTGCTGGCAGTTGTAAATAGTGAAAGCCTAGCAGCATTTTATACTGTCAGGATAGTCAAGGTTCTGCAATAGTATATAATTTTGCTGCTTAACATTCCATGAATCATGTACTTTTATGGAAAGACAAGTATGCAAAGTTGGTGTGAAGCACAGAGAGACAGCAAGACATATATATTTTGTACGTTTTTGTTACAATCATGTCCATTATTTAGAGATACTTAACGCCTATTTCTATTTGAATGTATCCTGTGTCCTAGCGAGATGTCTTATGGCGAGAAGCTTGGGTTCAAACTTTTATAAAAAAAAAAAAAATAATTTGTATAGAGGAAAGCAGATGAAGGTACTGATGACATGCTGTGTATATATATACATATATGCAGAACAAGTCGCATGGGGGTGGAAATCTTTAGCTCTAGATTTTTCGCACTTGTGAAAAATCTAGAGCTAAAGGCAAGGCAGAAGGTATCAGTGGCAATCCATATGGGCTGCCACTGATACCTTCTGCCTTACCTCAGAGAATTTACTCTCTTACCTGTTGTCTTGCAACGTTGTGTAGCTCCTGGTGATGCACAAGAGTGTGAAAGATATATAGCTAAAGATTTCTATCCCCATGTAGCTTGTTCTGCATTGTTAAGATCGCCTGCTTGCGATTGTATTGCATTATATAGATATATATATATATATATATATAGAATTCAGGTATTAAGAATTATTCAGCTCTATGCATGTGTACATTTTGACCATCCCTGCATTGCAGGGATCAAGCATTTTATTTTTTTATTGACTAGGTTTCAAGCTCTGCTTTCTCTCTTGCTCTTTTTTTTTTTTTTTTTTTTTAATTGTATACAGTGATATAACTATTATGAGGCTAAAACTCATTGCATTAAAGTGCATTTTCCTTTTTTAACATACAGAAAGTGAACTTTAATGATACTTATCTTTACTGGTTGTCACTATAAGACATCCCGCCTGAAAGGCAATAATTAAGCGAACATTGAGGTCCAGATACGTGGCGTTTCTCTATGTTTTCTGGTCCACTTATATGACGTGTAGCTGGCAATATTAACAATTTGTTGTTTCTAATGTTTGTTAAGGTTAGCTCATGTGGGCTGGTGGGTTATCTGCTAAGTCAGGCCTACAGTTAAAAGTGCTAAATGATCCTTGAAAAATATAATTTGTGACTTGGCAAGAAAGCATTCCTCTAAGGTAGCAATATTCAATGGATATCAGTTGTGAATAAAAGGTTGGTTTCAAAATGTTCTCTAATATAACCAAGATAATATTCACCAAATTAAAGTTAATATAATGTAAAATTATTAATTCGAAATATGAGTGGTAACTGTGGTTAACTAGGTAAAATTAAATGTTCAACCCTTTAAAAATATGGAGAAAATGCACAAGTTTAAAAAAAATCATGTGTATATATTTTTGTCAGAGGATATTCACTTTGCATTCACATTTAAAAAAACTTAGCTGAATTAGTGTATATTCTAGAAGAGAGCAGTACTTCAAAGGATACATTATTTAGGCACATTATCATCATATATCCTGGAGATATTGACAAGGTTGTCCCTCACCCAGGTAGAAACTTTTCTACCATAAATTATAGTACTTATCTAGGATGTCAAGCAATCACTGTAGAATAAAACATATCCCATGATATTCGTGGGTGCAAAACAGATATTCGTCCAGGTTACACAGAGCTGGCCCTGTTTACAGTCACAAGATTGGTGCTTTATTTCTTAGTGAAGAATTACTTCTGGTGTCTACATGATACAGAATGTTTATACATTATTGATTTTATCGGTGCTTTTTTATTTATTTACATATCTGAATCTTAGGAACTGAACCAAAAAAATTTCAATTAGTACTATAATTTGCCTTTTAGTACAGCTTGGCGCAACCAACATATCAAGACACTGTAGATTAGGCTGTATGTTCATGTGCCATAGAGTTCACATTGGTTGCTTGTGCCAAGAGTTAGATTTGGGAGTATGTTTTGTACAGGCATGTCAAGAGATGAATGTTAGAATAGCCAAAGATGTGAATGATGTTGAATTACTATATTCTCGTGCCCTCCCATCTACCTGCGATATCTAAAAAGTTATGAATGGCCAGGTCTATTTCTCTCTTAAAGGAGTGTGGTTTGTACATTAAAAGGGAGATGTTACAATCTTGCTGTTGGTGGTCTTTCACGTTGACGTCATCATTCACGTATAGATTTTTATTTCTAAGTACATACATATTTCCTTCTCCCATTCAATAACTTTTGCTCTCCTAACAAATTTTATCTTCTTTATAATAAAATTTATAATTAATTGCCATACTGGGGTGTTAGAAGCCTCTTAACACATCATGCATTATAAAAAAAGTATTACTAAGTCTATACACATTGAAAAAAACACTTATTCTTATATAAGAAAACTGAATTTATACATTGAATACATTAAATAAATACAGTATATTACAGCATATTCTTTAACAGGGAGAATGCAATACACATCATTATGCAATCATCCCAAGATCATTTCTTGTACATCAGCATATTCCGAGAACTATGCCTGTCATACACATGAAGTAATCCAGATTGCCACACAATTAATAACCATAGGAACTGGTTCCATAACCTCATTCTTATTTCTCTTCTAGACTTCTCCAGACTCAGTCGTCCAGAATTTAGAGATATTTAGATAATCTAGTGTTAAACTGCAAAAGTGATGTTATTTTATGAAAGGAGAGGTAGATAGTTGCACACAAGCTCTTGCAAGAAAGATTATGTTTTATATAGTAATTATGTATAAAATACTTTTTGTCCCCATGTTTTACCAAACCATGGCATTATTTTTTTCCAGATCCCTGAAGTCATATATTTTGTGGGATTTTTTTTAAACTGCAATATTTAGATATTTTACATACTGTACTATAGGAAGTATTGTGCAACAGTGGGCATTACTAATCATATTTGACATAAACATATAGGTCAGTGAATGAAAAACAATTGTATGTACTTTTGTCTTTCCCACACAATCTTTAAATTTGTAGTTTAATAAGTGTTGAGCGATGCTATGTTTGTACCGTACAAGCCCACAATGTGGGGTCCGCGATTAATGTTACTGTAAACAAGAGAGATTATGTGCACGGGGACAGCTGGTCTCCGCTAAAATAAAATATGGCGTAATTTTCTTTTTAGATTCCAACCTCTTCTAAATATATATAAAAAATGAAATCTGCTCTCTGGCAAAGTTTTCCAACCCTGGATCAAACAAAACCTGGCAATACATATTCCTTACTAGGTATGCTGTATCTGTATGCTGCTGTTTTACCTATGTTTCCCTATGATCCCTATACACCTAGATGAGATAATGAAATACAGCTGTAATACAAAACAGATATAGTACCAAAGAATTGAAAACTCAAGAATACAACTGCAGAAAGGATAATGACAACAGCAGAATGGTAGAATAACAGAATGGGATTTACAGGGAAGTAATACATACTTGAACTACTGGAATATTTAGAAAATCTATTTATTTATTTTGTCTTTGCAAACAGTACATTGAGATTTTGTATTTACAATAGTGAGTTGCAATGCAAAGAGCCTCTATTATGCCTAGGCATTATGGGTCAACTTAACATTATTGGCTTACAGACTACTTAACACTTATATCATAGTTGTACAGTAGAATAGTAATTATTTCATAGTTGTACAGCAGATTATTAATTATAAGTGAATCTAATTTGTATAAGACAAAAGATATATTCATATATTCAAAAATGCTTTTTGTGAAAACAATAATTCAATTATATTCCTGTCAATAATGGATAAAAGGTTCAAAGTGATTGTTGAAGTTATGATGTGGGAGTACATAAGTGAGTATGTGTGTACTGAGTATTTAGCATTTAGTCTAGGGTGATTAAGTGGCTTTTGAGAAGTCTTAAACTGATTTTCAGACCGGGTTACTTTAATATCTTCTGGTAATGAATTCCATATTTTGGGGCCCTTTATGGGCATAGAGTTTTTACACAGTGTGATATGGACACAAGGTACGTATATCAAAAAGAGATCTGTGTCTTGTGTTGTGGTCGTGTCCTGTTTAGGATGGTGAGGAGAAGTTTGAGTGGAGGGTTTATATTTGCATGTATTGTTCTGTGTATGTAGTAGGCACATGAATAAGTATGGATGTTCTTAATGGTGAGCAGATTCAGACTTTTGAAAATTGGTGGAGTATGCTGGCAGGAGTGGGAATTTGTTATTCTTACTGCTGCCTTTTGGTGGGTTATTAGAGGTTTTAGGTGATTGGATGTTGTTGATCCCCATGAACAAATTCTATATGTAAGATAAGGGTATATGAGTGAATGGTACAATGCCAGGAGAACCGATTGTGGAACGTAGTACCTTATCTTTGATAGTATGCCTACAGTCTTGGAGGTTTTTTTGGTGATTTGTTGTATGTGTGTCTGGAACTTAAGGCTACTGTCAAGGTGGATACCTAGGAATTTTCCCTCAGTCTTGTGACTGATGATCCGTTTAGCATTATGTTAATTGGATCATTTGCAGCTTTGTTTCCAAACTGAATGAAATAGGTTTTATCAGTATTCAATATAAGTTTATTAGTCATCATCCAGGCAGATATTTTCTGCAATTCGGCATTGACTGTGTTTGCTAGTATGACTGTGTTTGGGTGGGAAAAGACATGTGTAGTGTCATCTGCAATTAATCTAGGTTTGAGTAGCTGTGATGCATTCAGTAGATCATTGATGTAGATGAGAAAGAGGAGTGGTCCAAGGACACTTCCTTGTGGGACTCCTACTGTGATTGGTTGGGTGGAAGAGTTTACATCATTTGCATACATATATTGAGTTCTGTTACTAAGGTATGATTTTAGGTAGTTGAGGGAGTGGCCTCTGATACCATAGTGTGTTAATTTGGAGTGCAGTAGTTCATGGTCGATTGTATCAAAAGCTTTACGTAAATCAATGAAAATGCCCAGCGTGACTTCTTTCTTTTCGAGTGCAGTATATATTAGTTCTAGCATGTGTATGATAGCATCATTTGTGCTTTTATTATTCCTGAATCCAAACTGACAAGGGTTTAATATGTTGTGTGAGACGAGGTAGTAATAGATCCATCTATGAATTAATTTTTCAAAGATTTTAGAGAGCAGTGGTAAGTTAGATATTGGTCTCTAGTTATTCAAGTCAGCTTGGTCACCTCCTTTGTGGATCGGAGTGACCCCTCGCTCTTTTGAGGATTGTTGGGAAGGTAGATGAGCTCTGCTCCTTTTTAACTACCAACAGTCAATTACATACAGATTTCCTTTGAAAAATACAGTTCAGAAGTGGAATACACTGATATACAATCACAACCACTCAAGATTCACTAACCTCCTCTTCGTAGCCTAATAAGAGTACTTATAAACTGACTGAAGTTTTAAAGCAATATTAATTCTAACCTATAATGTTCAGTTACTACAGAGTTCCTTATAAATGAATATACAGTAATAAAGTATAATATGGAAAGTTATTTATAACTTACCACTTAAGAAGAGACAGAAGTTAAAATTGTGTTAAAGCAACAATGAGAAAAATGCAGAGGTAGTCAAGGGTAAACTACTGATAATAGGTGACGAGGAGGGAACTCTTTGGCTCAATAATGCAGAACCCAACAAAATTACAAGAGAATAACAAACCATCAAGGCTGGCCCTACCTTTCCTCCTTCAGCAGACAGGATCTTATATACCAGTGAGAGGCTTTTGATACAAGGAAATGGACCTATATTTTGTTGGTGGGGATTGAACCTGATTTCTTCCCTTTACCCCCAGGCGCTGTATGACCCCTTTGGGTTTAGCATTTTCCTTCAATTTGATAACAATTAATAATCAACCAACATGGTCTAGTTTTTTTTGTGTGTAAAAGTGTGTGTGACTCAGTTATTGTGGTTGCAGGGGTCAAGTTACAGCTCCTGGCTGTGCACATTTGTAGTAAGTTGTTAAGGGCATTTGTCGATAGACACTTGGCCTGCTGTTGTGTAAAGTGATGCTGGGGTGGGAGTGTGTGCTCACATATTTGTACTTGCCTATTTGTGGCTGCAGGGGTTTAGTCACAGCTCCTGGCCTCGCCTCTTCACTGGTTGCTACTAGGTCCATTCTCTCCCTGCACCATGAGCTTTATCGTATCTCTTCTTAAGCTATATATGGATCCTGCCTCCACTACATCACTCTCCAGATTGCTCCACTTCTGACAACTCTGTGACTGAACAAATTTCCCCTAACATCCCTGTTATTCATCTGAATTTTCAACTTCCAGTTGTGACACCTTGTTGCTGTGTTCCATCTCTGAAACATTCTGTCCTTACCCACCTTGTTAATTCCTTTCAATATTTTATGTCATTATCATGTCCCCTTATCCCTCCTGTCCTCCAATGTCGTCAGGTTGATTTCCTTTAACCTCTCCTTGTAGGGCACGCCCCTTAACTCCAGGGCTAGTCTTGATGTAAACCTTTGCACTTCCTCTCATCTCTTGATGTATCTGACCAGGTGTGGGTTTCATACTGGTGCTGCATACTCCACTATGGGCCTGACATATACAGTTTACAGTGTCATGAATGACACTGTACAATGTCGAAGTGCTATTCTTAGGTTTGCCAGGTGCCCATATGCTGCAGCAGTTATTTGATTGATGCACACCTTAGGAGATTAGCTCAGTATGATGCTCACCCCTTGAGTTTTGCAGCCTCTGACCTCTTAGGCTGTACTCTGCAGTCTGTCCTTCCCCAAACTTCATAACTTTGCACTTGCTGGGGTTAACCTCCAGCAGCCATTTATCAGCCCAGGCTTGCAGCTTGTCCAGATCTCCTTGCAGGCTTACCTGATCCTTATCCACTTGTATTCTCATTACCTTCATATCATCTGCAAACAGGGATGCCTTTGAATTTATCCATTCTGCCATGTCATTCACATATACTAGAAACAGCACCGTACCTAGGACTAACTTTTGTGAAACCCCACTCTGACACCTTATCATATACCAACACACGTTTCCCTCCTGGCAGGTATTCCCTGATCCACTAGCTTTTCAAACAGTTTCTTGTGTGGTACTGTATTGAAAGTTCTTCTTACAGTCCAAGAAGATGCAGTCTACCCATTCCCCCCCCTCCCCCCCCCCCCTCCCCCCCCTCTCTCTCTCTCTTTTTACACAGGGTTTGACAAGGTTAAGGATCCCTAGCTTTATTGACAGCTATATTACAGGTTAAGGATTCCTAACTTTATTGGCAAGCTAAGAGCTGTTACCTACATCAGCTCATTTGAAAGCATTTTTATTGTTATGAGACATACAAGTACGGAACAGGATGAAGTTGGAGCCATCTGTGGGCCAGCATTTTCATTTGATCAACTGACTTTATCTCGTTGACATCATTATGCTGTACGAATGTGTTCCATACTCGAGTCATCCTGGGTATGTATGATCTCAGATGGAGTGATGTTCTGGAGAAGGGTACAGCCAGAGTAAAGTTGCTGCTTTCTGCCCGTCTTGTGGCATAAAAGCTTGTTTCACGCTGTCCTCGAAGTGGATCCAAGTGTGGTATTTTGACAATATTGGCCTTGTACATAACAGTAAGGCCACCCACATCCCTCCTATGTTGAAGGCTCTGCTGAAATGACAGATCTACCAAGGATGGGTCCAGGCGAGAGATGAGACGTCTTGCTCTGTTCTCTACTCTGTCAAGCAGTCGCAGATGAGAGGGGGGGCAGGCAAACCAAGAAAGTGGAGCATACTCAAGGTGTGAGCGTACTTGTGCCTCGTACAGGATCTTGCAACCCCTACTGTCAAGCAGATGCGAGATACGGCGAAGTGCTGTAAGCTTCCTGGCTGCCTTGTTTGCAAGATTTACAACATGGTTCTTCATGGTTAGTTTGGAGTCAAATTTCACCCCAAGGATATCAACTTCTTCTCCAGGTGCCAACATCGTCCCATTCATCCTTACTACTGCACCAGCATTACCATCATGGTGCCTAGAGACGATCATCATTTGTGTTTTCTCAGGTGCAAATGTTACTTGCCATCTATTTCCCCAAGCTGATATAGCTCTCAGCTGGTGATTGATGTAGCTTAGAGCAGCTGGCATTTCTTCTCTTGGATAAGTGAATGTCAGTGTACAGTCGTCTGCATATGCATGT